GTATTTCATTTTCTAATAAAACAAATATAATGTGACACACAAGCGGACAGAGATAGCGCTATACGAAGCCGAAATCAGCCGTTGGTCTCTTTCTAAAGGCTCGACCTTTATAGAGCAATATTTATTGGCTGGTATTGTAATTCATTGGAAATTTGCGAGCCAAAAAGCCTAAATATCACTAACGAGTAAAGATTAAAATCTGGAGTTAGAGAATAGCCGCTTTAATTCTTAAAGGCCTATCTACCGTTTAATAGTAGTCTTCATTTATGTGCTGCCAACGTGATAAAAAGCGACCAGGTGACAGTAATTGTTTTGATCCAAAATGTTATCTGGGAATGCATAGGGCACTGTCCATTCGAGGTCTATGTCCATGTCCTTCTTAAGACCAGGCTTGCGGGGAGTACTCAATGTTAGCCAGCGACTTACCTGTGCCCCTGGCATTGCTGACGTGTACGAGGGACGGTAACCACTTGCCACCGGATGGCCGTGTGATCGCCTGTATACCTAAGCAATAAATAAAAAGTTCGCTAGCCAAGAAGGCCTACGGAGGTGGCATTGACAATAACCCGGAATCACGTGATGTATTACTTAATTTACAGAACCCTTAAATCACAGTCTCGACGTCAAGAATGACTGGACAATTCAATCTGCCAGATTAAAAACAAGCCCGACATCAGAAACTTAATAATAACTGGCCCATACACTTTCTTTTGTCACTATGTTTATTTAAACCTACCAAGATACCCTAACTAATGGGCTAAAGTGTTTAAAAGATTTATTTCTACTGAACATTTTACTGTTTGTATAAAATGTTATTTAAGAACAAAACAAAAATCTGTTCTTAACTTCTTCGTCTGCATTAGTTAGTCAATTGTTTATTAATAGAACAGACAGCCCTGGTCTTGCCGTGTCTAATTAAGGGTATCATAGATAAACGCGTACAGAAATAAATAAATATTCTATGAACCTATTTCTAGTTATGTACCATCGTAAGCTCGATTTTTATTTTATTGTCATTCCATATCTGACGGCCATTACTTCGGAGTTCGCGTCTTATTTTCAGAATGAAAAATTATCGCTTTACGCCCAATTGATTATTATCGTTTGGAAGCTCTGCGTTTACGAAAGGACTTCAGTTTTGTTTCTGTCTTTTGGACCGTGTGGAGTACAGTACATCCATACTACGGCTGTGCTCATGCACAGTCCATTTCCAGAGATCGTGATTGCCACGTAGCATCCGGCTCTGGAATGAACTTCACGGGGCTTGCCGAGTGCTATGTCATCTCCTTCAAATGAAGCTTGCGGAGTTCTCTTGGTAGTAGGCAGCGACTTAGCAATGTTGATGTTTATGAGCGACTTACTTACCAAGAGCGCATCCATTTGTGACACACAGTCCACAGTGCGTTTTCAGAGGTCTTTTTTGCCAAGTACCATCCGGCTATGGAATGAGCTCCTCTCCACGGTGTTTCCCGAGCGCTATGACATGTCCTTCTTCAAACGAGGCTTGTGGAGAGAATTAAGCGGTAGGCAGCGGCTTGGCTCTGCCCCTGGCATTGTCCATTGTCCATAGGCAACGGTAAACACTCACCATTAAGTGTGCTCGTCTGCCTACAAGGGCAATTTTTTTTTTTGTGACAAATGGATCAACATGTGGGACGCAATGTCACTAGTTGTACGGTTAAGTTTTTATTATACGATATTGTGATAATGTTGATGTTGTGATTCTTCGTGAGCGCGTGTTAGGTACATTTTTAGGCATATTTCCTTAGATCAATTAGCACCTGCCTGCGAGGTTTGAACACGGATGGTTGTAACGCTTGCTAAGACTTTTTTAAAGTCCGATGTTAATTTTAATTCGTTTTAACATACCTTTTGTGTTATAAATGAAGACATCTGGTGGTAGGACCTCTTGGGAGTCCGCACGGGTAGGTACCACCACCCCGCCTATTTCCGCCTTGAAGCAGTAATGCGTTTCGGTTCGAAGGGTGGGGTAGACGTTGTAACTATTAGCCGTTGTGACCTTAGAACTTATATCTCATGGTGGGTGGCGCATTTACGTTGTAGATGTCTATGGGCTCCAGTAACCACTTAACACCAGGTGGGCTGTGAGCTCGTCCAACCATCTAATAAAATCCCACCCAATAAAAAAAAAACATTGTAAATAAGCGGGTAGACGAAAAAATCTTTCTTTCTTTGTCTGCTTTGAAATTCCGACTTTTGTTTGTGCGTACACAATCATACCTTAAGTATAGGTAGAAGGGAAGATATGGGAAGGGAAGGAAGAGATGCTTATCGTACCTACCTCGCAGCGAATGCTAACAAAACGAAATTTTTTTTCATTAATATTGTTTATTACATGAAATGCATTACATATCGGGCAATACAATGGGACTGCCCACGATACAGTTTTTAGATAATTTTAACCTTTTCAACACATTAATGTTTCATTTTATACACATTCAACTATCGATATTATTACTATAAGATCAGATGCGTAATAAGAACAATTTTTATAAATATCTAAAATCTTTTAAATACTGTTGTTTAAGTTGTGAGAATTACTATAATAGAGCCAGTAGCACTAATTAAAATGTAATGGATTCATTGCTTCGTAACGATCGTACCCCATTTTCTAAAGTCAAAGACATTTGACATAAATGATTTTTTTCAGACCAGTATCTTTTAATATAAAATTGCATTTTTTTGCGGGCTTAGCTCCCAGGCCTAGTGAATTACAGCCCATTGAGTTTCTCGCCGGATCTTCTCAGTGGGTCGCGTTTCCGATCCGGTGGTAGATTCTACGAAGCACTGCTCTAGCTAGGACCAGTGTTAGCAATACCTCGGTTTGAGCCCCGAGAGTTCACCTACACGCTAGGGTGAAGCTGAAATAGCCTCTCAAGGCTATCAGCATATGTAGGAAAAAAAGTGGATTATGAAAGGTAAAATGCAATTTGATTACTAAGGCTGATTTAAAAAAATATAAATACGTGACGATTATTAAGATATAAATACAAGTTAGAGAACAAGCTGTGGTTATAGTTTACTTTTGCGATTTAATTTTTTTTAAAGTATGTTAAATAAATTTGTATTGGATTTGAAAGTTACGAAGACACTGTGAACTTCCATCTAATATTTAGTAGTTCACAATTTGATTGACAATGATGAAACACCGGTTGATTTGCAACTAAAAGTCTCCATTTTTAATACTATTGATGCATAATTATATCCAAAATTTTCAGTTCTATTTGTATGATCTCACATCCAACCTTATAGTAATTATCACTTTATAAATAGTTCAGCTTGATACACGACACCGTAAAACTTCCATAAAGTATTTGAAAGAGAACAACAATGTGCTGACTGTTATAGAGACGTTTAATTTGTTTGCAAGATTATTTCATAGCTCCTAACTTACTTAGAAGAACTTAGTTAGTAGTTAGAAGTGTTGGGATTTAGATCTCGTGCTTAAGGCGATTGACAGTATTGACCCGCGTCCCAAAGACGTGTGACGGTATTCACGATGTGATGTCCATAGTCTCTGGTAACTACTAGCATCGGGTAGACCGGTTTTATATTGCCTAAGCAAATTATTTAACTAAAGACACTTCGTAAATTTCCTTAACACTACAAGTGTGATGATAATGGTTTACTTAATATATTTTTACTTTAAACTGGTAGTTTGTTCTTATTTCGAGGGATATAACGATCTTTTAACAAAATCTCTGTATAATGATTTGATTAGCCAAATTAAGACAACGGAAACAGGTAATAGAGCTCTAATTTCCTTGCATACGTCTAAAATCACGATCGAAAAACTGTTATTTTAAATCTCCTTCACCCTTCGGGAAGGGAAATCTAAAGTAAGCGAATGACGTCACATAGTAATTCAGTTAGATTGCACATCCTAAACAAAATAATACTAATATTTCCGTTGTGATGGGTTTGTTTGCAGTTTCAATTCTTCTATTTCGGAAAATCGATTCTATTTTTCAGTTTTGAAGTTTTCAGTTTGAGTCATGAAGAATTGATCAAATTAGTAATATTTTTGTATTAGAATTATAATGCGAGAAATTTTGTTTTTTACGTACTATTAAATAACATTCATGGACATGTCAATGAAAAGTCATGATTAGGTATTACGTGTATCAAGCTAAACAATTTTAACAGTTATTTTAATGGTACAAATTAATTTCTAAGGCGAAAATAGACTATACCAGCGTTTCCGTAAACAATTCACCGACTATTTTAATATCACTTTAACTATCAGACAAAAACTTTTAGGTTTGAGGAGAAAAAAATTAAAAGACAAACTGAATAAGAAGATACATTAATTTCTCACTTGTTTGAATATTATCCGTAACTAATTAAGTGACACACATTTATTTAGTAGTGTTTTAGATCGTAAATAAATCGAATTCAAAAAGGTCCATTTGGCCGTGAACTTCATCGGAAAATTGTTTACCGGAAAATGCGGAAATATTCGAAGGAATGATAATATAATACAGAATTGAAAAAAATGTTTTCAAAATAACATCGATAAAACTCTCGTCTTTGGCTAATTATAACAAGCTTTGGAATAAAATGTGTTGTACTAAACAGGATGAACGTAACAAATTTCTTCACAGCCACCTGGTAGATACGCGCTTAAAGATTGCAATATTTATTATTAAAATTTCCATTAATAAAATAACACAGGAGTCAGAATTGTTTGAAAACTCAGCGCAGTAGTCCTATATTGAATCTGAGTTTTTATTCTGGTGATACGCACTCAAATTTATTTAAAAAAAGCTGTCTAATAAATGATTAACGCATTTTTTTTTTTATTGCCTAGGTGTGTGGACGAGCTCACAGCCCACCTGGTATTAAGTGGTTACTAGAACCCATAGACATCTACAATGTAAATGCGCCACACACCTTGAGATATAAGTTCTAAGGTCTCAGTATAGTTACAACGGCTGCCCCACCCTTCAAACCGAAACGCATTACTGCTTCACGGCAGAAATAGGCGTAGCGGTGGTACCTACCCGTGCGGACTCACAAGAGGTCCTACCACCAGTAGGAATTTATATACCACGTAATGTGTGGTATATAAATTCGCAAGCAAAGTAACATGCTCAATGGCATCTGAGTTTTAAGCTACATGATATTTCCGGAATAAGCGAATTTCAAATCACACCGCTTACGTAGACAAAATAATAATAATAAATATTTTCAGTGTCTTGAGTTGGAAATTGACGTTAATAAATGTACTTACCAGGCAGTTGTGGACTAAGATTGTGATTAAAATAGAGAGATCTATATTTTGATTTTACTACGTAAATGATTAATGTTGATTATAAGTAATATATTATTTATGTTCCTTTATATTATATTATATACACGCGTAGAATTTTCAAACTATAATTGGTTTTGCTTCCCGCATAAGTTCTTATTTCTAGAGTCAGTGTTGCCAGATAAGATTGTATCTAATCTCGTTTAAACTAATGTATTTGTGGTTGTAATGTTTGTAAGTATAATAATAAGTATTTTTTTTTATTACAACGATGTGTCTTTATTAAACATTGGTACGAATGAAAGTTTTGTAGACGAGGTTCAAGTTCTTATGTAGTCTTCGAAACACAAACAACAAAAAAGTTTTTTTTAAGTGTAATCACCCGCGAAAGTTTAAATCAATTCATACCAAAGTCGGATCAATGATACAGCAGTTAACGGTCCTAAGCTTAGCATAATATGTAAGTTCAGTAATAAAAAAGTCGTACAAACCGTGTCGGATGGGAGTCGCAAAACCAAAATTCATTTTTAGAGTAGGTACTCTGTAACATGAAGCAAAAACGTTATTGCTATAAGACCAAACTACAGATCTCTTTCTGACTCGTTTTCAGTCATTACGTCGAGCATCTCAAATCTCTAATGCATATACTGTTTTACTACCAAAAATGATACAGGTTTAAAAATTAAACAGCAAAACTTACATTATTCAAAATAGCACCAATGTTTTAGCATTTCACGCGAAATAAAACGCTGTTTATTTGCGGAAATTCTGGGAGTTTTTTATATCATGCAACACTGTGCTGTAGTTCGTTTTAAGAATAGATGTTTCAAGTTATATAATTGCAAACTTAAAGTATAATTCTGAAATTATCATTTACTATTTATTTTATGCTTAAATTCAATGTAAATTTTACAAAAAGTCAAATACCAATAGACTTGAGATGTCAATATCGATTTTATAAATAGCATTGAGATTTTTGTTCTTACGAAATTAAGATATGGCTCTCTGATATTAAGTAGATATGATTACAGATTTTATTTAAACTTGTTCACAAAACGTTCTACTAGAATTATAAAATGTACATTTATTTTAGTCATTAGATATATTTATAGGTAAAATTAATTAATAATTATGGTAACATAACTCCTACGGTATCCATAGACATTACGGCTTATAAAACAAAATACAGATAATCGAAAATTTGTTTAGCTGCACTCCAAAGTCTTAAGACTTAAATTATCTGTATCAATTTTTATTAATCGATTTTCATTTGTTTTTGGACATAATTAACAACATATTTTCTATAACATATGTTAAAATTTACAATTCTACAACTAAAACATTGTGTTGCCAACTACAATTAAAAAAAAACCAAGAAAACAAACATACCTAATTTTATTTGGTCTCATTTTAGTAACGGTTATGTTTTACAACGAAAAACTATCAAAATCTTAACGAATTAAACTTAATTATTGTAATGTGGTAATAATAACACATTCTACTATTGTACAGATAAAACTCTGTATTAAAGTATTATCCGTGCAAAAAGTGTTAACTATCATTCATAATAAAATTCAATGCTCTGTGGCGCGAGCGGTTAACGTGTCAGATGTTCCCGCTAAAAATTCACGGCGAAAACACCCTCAGACTTCTTAGTAATGTTGCCAGAACGTTCGCTAAGCATTCTGCCCTCAGGGCTAACTGCCCTTCTAGAGTGGACGCCGTGTCTTGATTTTGCTGCTTGTTAGATTTATTGTTGTGCTCGTGAATTATTTGTGCCATTTCCTGCCCGGCTAGTTCCTTAAAAGCTGCCGTGACGTCATGAACACGGAGCACCAAATTCCTTGTTTGAAGCGGTGAGGATGTGTGCCTTCCAAGCGCCTGTGAATGAATAGCTTTTTTTGGGCACAAATGAATAAGACGCTGACATTTTTTAATCAAATATGCAAAGTTGCTGACGGTATCTACTGCCGTAGTCCGCAGATGTAAAAACTTAAATGTAGCCGCTACGTAATACTGAAGACTATGTCACAATTTTGTTCTAAATTGGGCGTTCTTTTCGATCCTGCGACGCGGATTATCTTCAAGTTATTTTTTTATTTCTGACTTCATTTCTTACTGGTGGTAGAACCTCTTGTGAGTCCTCGCGGGTAGGTACCACCACCCTGCTTATTTCTGCTGTGAAGCAGTAATGCGTTTCGGTTTGAAGGGTGGGGCAGTCGTTGTAGTTATACTGAGACCTTAGAACCCATATCTCAAAGTGGGTGGCGGCATTTACGTTGTGGGTGTCTATGGGCTCCAGTAACCACTTAACACCAGGTGGGCTCGTCCAACCATCTAAGCTATAAAAAGAAAGGTGAACTGAGAAACAAAATAAATACCAGTAAACCGTGACCTTAACTGGCTTAGCTTAACTGGCAAGTTAAACAATTTTATCAAAACATCATGCAAATTTTCGAACCTGAGCGAGATCGGTCAGTCGTCGGAGAGGCGTCAAGCAGTCGGCTAGTGCAGTAGGAGCCGCACCTCCCCGCGCGACCCCCAGCGCCCCCACTAGTGTCCGTGAAGCCCCAACCAACGACACAGCGCACGAAGTCAATTCGCTGCGCGCTCGCTGGGAAATACAAATAGGCCTTTAAAGTTTTTTCCATGCTATCCTGGAATAGTACACTCAACGAACTCATGACATAGTCTTAAAATGACGAGAACTTTGCAATAAAAAAATTACATAATTAAAAGTAGAGTTAAAGAAAAACAGGATTCTAATAAGTTTGAGAGAATAATATATGGAAGAGCTTAGGTCTCATCGAGATTTTCCCTTTATCCTTCCCTAGATGTGTTACCATAACACATTTCTGTTTTTTCGCAACATCTTTAGTTTCTATTTTCGATATTATTGTGAAGATACCCGTTGTATCATTGCAATTTAGACTTCAATTTAGTTTATAGGATTCCAAAGTGAGCTATAGAATTGAAGGTGTGGTGTTTATCTTTTCTGGTAATTGTTTAGCGCTAGCCGGACCTTTAAACAAACTTGCAATGAAAAACGAAGTGCACAATGTTTTTTAAAGAAGCTTACCTGAAACTTGGCTTCATCAATATCTTCTCCGCCTCCGTGCGCGTGTTGATGCGAACATTTCTGTGCTACCTGATGCAGCCTCTGCAGCAACCCGTCGACGGCCACCTCCGTTTTACATAGCAAGTTCTCTATGGACACGTGCCCATTGTTCCCCGCCTGGAACTCTGGAAACTTCACCGTCGGCGGCGACGGAGGAGTCGGAATGTCATCCACTACGTCTTCTTTAAACCTAACATGATTCACTTTTGGTGTAGGACTTGAGCTAAAAGTCTTTCTGTCTAGAGGAGGGCTGAAGACTTTTTGGTCGCACGGAGCGCCGTTCAATATATCTGGTCTATTGCTAAACCTCCGATTCATCTGAGGTGAGCACAAAGATAAAGCTGTCGACATTTCCTTGTTCTTCAAGATTGTGGTTTTCGTTTCTGAATTCGATCTAACGTGTCGACTCTGCAGCGTCATGGAACTGTAGTTTGGGGTCGATCGGATGTGCACTTCGTCATCCGCACGGCTTTCGTTCTCAAGGTTCTTATAACTATTTAAATTTCTCTGAAAATGTGGCGATCCGATACTGGCCAGTCTTTGCTCTTGGTTCCTGATTGGAGAACTTTTTTGTAATGTCTTCAGTCTGAGTACCTCGATGCTCGGAACTGGTGGGAGAGGTGGCTTCTTTGGAGGTAGTAATATAGGTGGGGGTGGTGACAGAACCTTGTTCTCTAATCTAGGAGGTACTTGGGGTGGATTTTGTACACTTTTTTCATTAATATCGCAGATAACCTTGTAGTTCAATTGTCTATTATTTAGCGTGTTGAAATGATTGGTGCTGATTTCGACCGCAGTCAATTCGTTATTGAGACACGTGAAAGAATTGGACCGAGGTCTCGGAGGAGGTATTGGAGCTGTCTTCGGAGGTCTTTCAGGAGGTTTTTTGCAATCAGAACTTTTTCTTCTCGGAGGAGGCCTGATTTCGCACACGTCGGGCATTGAATCGGAGTTCTGTNGTCTATTATTTAGCGTGTTGAAATGATTGGTGCTGATTTCGACCGCAGTCAATTCGTTATTGAGACACGTGAAAGAATTGGACCGAGGTCTCGGAGGAGGTATTGGAGCTGTCTTCGGAGGTCTTTCAGGAGGTTTTTTGCAATCAGAACTTTTTCTTCTCGGAGGAGGCCTGATTTCGCACACGTCGGGCATTGAATCGGAGTTCTGTATTTGAGTTTCAACTTTTTCTCCCTCATCGTTGGTATCATCTGACTTATTTTTATCTTTGCTGCAGCAGGAGAACATGCCTTTTCTTTCGACTGTCGGGTATTCTATAACGTGTATGTTACCGTTTGCTTGTTTATCACCTGAGACGCTCTTCCGTTTACCTTTTGGGGAATCAGATTTCGTTTGTGTTGTAGTTTTACTTTTATCTTTGAGCAACAAACTATTCCTAGCTTCACTCAGACTTTTTGCTGCAAACATATTCCTAATTTCACTGACACTCAGCTGTCCCTTAACTACATCTCCATTTGATGTTTTGGTGTTATCGTTTACGTTTTGTGCAAGTTTTGCTTCTAAGATCTGGGTTTGGTTCGCGTATCCTACTTCATCTCTGTCTAGAGTAGATGTATTGGACCCTGGGGGTGGCGGAATGATGTAAGACATTATCTCTTCTGGCGTCAGTTCTATTGCAGGCGTGACTTTAACAGTGGGTGGTTGTATTGTAACATTGGCGATGAATTCTTCCAAATCACTAGTTTTTGGTGCATCCGAAATATTTTCTGTTGAACTTGCTTTTTCATCTGCGAAAGAGGGCGGTACGACTGGGAGAATTTGAGGCACTTGTGTGGCGCAATCCAATTCATCAGGAGTTTGTGGGGGTGGTATTAAAGTTAAATCTATAAGCTCGACGTCACTATCAACTAGGCTCTCCTGATAATAAAATGGATGATACTCTGTACTTGCCGCTTCATCTCTATTGCTCTTCTCTCTTAGTTGCTTCAAGTAATCTTTCAAGTTCGGTTCTTTATTTTCTTGTATTGCCTCTGGGCTGTGCAAACCAAAACTAGTTCTAACTGCTTTATTTGGCGTTTTGTTCTGATGTCTCCGTATGGGGCTGTTTGTGGGAGTGTATAATGAATCATTATCACTTTCTGAATGACAAATATCATTGTTTAAAGCTATTAAAGCGTCTGTGAGACCACAATTATTTAATATGGTACTAAGCCCTTGAGACTGTCGCGCCGTCAAGCCACTAACATTATTGTCATTTTCTGACACAGGCAGTACACTCAAACCCTGATTTATAGTTTCAGTTAGAAGCAAAAGCGAATCGCTGTGTTTTAAGATGCCAGGGGCGTCATCAGCCATAGACATTCTACTATTATTAGACTCAGTGTCGCTTTCCAAATTATCGACACTGGTCTCTCTACCAACTAACTCATCTCTTATAAACGCATCATGATATAAATCCTCACCATAAACTTCACAGTTTTCAGTTAAATACTGTTCAGAATTCTCAACCAGTTTCTGCATTTCTGCCACTCTCCTGTGCACCTCTTCATTCTTGGCTTCAACTAGTCTTGGATTATTGCTGGCGTTTTCCAAGAGCTCTATAGAGAGGATGCTCTGAAGATCGAAACCCATACCGTCGTCGAGATAGCAAGGATCGTTTGGATCGAAGAGTCTAAAGTCTTCACCTCTCTTACACTTCTCGAAGTGCACATCGTGTCCAAGTAGACTGGACTTATTATCAAAACCAATCAAAGGACTGGAGTTATTGCTGCTATTTTTGTTCGTTATATTCGCGTTCATATTGGAATCTAAGCTATTCTTAGCTTGGTCCGGAGTGGAATGGTAGGGCGGAGGCATACTGAAGATCGCATAATGCTTTTTCGATAAAACGTTGGGATCGTCGTGGTGTAAGTAGCTCCATTTCGCTGGGACTACGTTGTGCTGGGACAAGTAGGGTGGAGCTGGAAAACAAAACCATTTCTTGCTTATTAGCGTAGTCCCCGTTTCGCCTTGTATGATAATAGTATTCATATCTAAATATTGGATAAACCGATATTGAATGTGTTTATTAATAAATGTAATAAAAAGCAATTAAATGAGTTACTATGGTCGCCATGCACCTACCTATATCCTCCGTGATGGGTTCCCGTTCAATTTCCACATTCAGCTCTTTACCGGTCGCCAGCTTGTAATATCTGTAATGGGATTAATAGTTCAAAGCGTTCAACTATGTGATTTGTGTAAATAAGAAGTAAGGTGCAGTCTTGACTGGTGGCAGGACCTCTTGTGAGTCCGCACGGGAAGGTACCACCGCCCTGCCTATTTCTGCCGTGTGCGTTTCGGTTTGAACGGTGGGGCAGCCGTTGTAACTATACTTGAGACCTTAGAACTTACATCTCAAGGTGAGTGGCGCATTTACATTGTAGATGCCTATGGGTTCCAGTAACCACTTAACACCAGGTGGGCTGTGAGCTCGTCCACCCATCTAAGCAATAAAATAAAAAGAAATCGGTACATACCCGGCGATGACGAGCGGCATCTCCGCGGCGTCCCTATCGTCCATGAGCAGCGCTAGCACGCGGTCGCGGCGCAGGAACACGGCCAGTTCCGCGCATGCGCCCGCGCGCCGCACCCGCACGCACTCCACTTCGTCTATGGACGCTATTTGCTGTGGCTGTAACAAAGGCAAATAAATAATTTACTGGTGGTAAGACCTCTTGTGAGTCCGCACGGTTAGGTACCACCACCCCGCCTATTTCTGCCGTGAAACAGCAATGTGTTTCGGTTTAAAGGGTGGCCGTTGTAACTAGAATGAGACTGAAATTATATCTCAAGGTGGGTGGTGCATTTACGTTGTAGATGTCTATGGGCTCCAGCAATCACTTAACACCAGTGGGCTGTGAGCTCGTCCACACATCTAAGCTATAAAAAAAAAAACAAAATGTGTGCAATTCACACGTGGTAGAAGTGAAACCTTCCAAAATTAAAATACAATTATCCTAAACGTCTTAAGTATATGTAAAATTTTGTCATTAGTAAATAATTGTAAGGTAGCGCCCTTTGTGAATTGATATTTTAATTTCACGTATAATCCTAAATTAAAATTCACTACAAGAGCTTTCATACACACGTTAGTATTAAAAAATCCACAGATGGCGCTGTATTAAATAGTATGTATATTTCTGTCTCATTCTTTGCTGGCTTCATCCTACACATTTTTGTATTTGTGTCTCTTACCTGTCGTTTTTTCCGTTGTATCCGGTTTGAAATCACAACGATTCTAAAGAAGTTTTCACTTCAAAAAAATTAGTTCGACCTCTCTCTAAGTTCCGGTGTGGTGCGATAGCGGTAATGTCTGTAGGTTGCTTTTTCTGCCTACCTGTTCTAATAACCTCGAGGGATTATACAGTCTGGTTAATTTGCTAACACTAGCTCTAGCAAGAGCAGTGCTTCGCAAAATCTACCACCGGATCGGAAACGTAATCCACTGAAAAGGCTCGGCGAGAAACTCATTGGGCTGTGTCTGTGAGTTCATTTACTTGCCGAGCCCTTCGTCGCAAGCGACTGGTTTGACGAGAACGGTGCTCGGGTACAAGAATCGATCGTGAATCGGGAGGATGTGAAATTACTTGTTTATGGGTTACAGTAATCACTTAAATCTAAATATGTGTTTTTGTATGTATGTTTGTAACGGAATCTTTGAACATGATTTTGACCCCCTTCAAAACGTCGGATTAACTCGAAATTTGGTATACTTATTAAGGACCGATGAAAATTCAATATTAAAAAAATTATCTAAATACTATCGTGAAAAGCACCCCACGCTTTTTTTTACAATTAAATCATTTTTTCTTACACTATTTTTAAATCAAATTTATTAAAATTTATTTTCTATTGTTGGATTTTCTATAAAAGCGTATTTTGTTAGTTTTTATAAACTATTATTTTTTAGAAAATCAAAAGGCAACAGAACTCGTTGAAACCTAGATGGCAACGTCGGAAATAACGACAACGTACCACAGAGTTAGTTCTCCCCACGATCTGACTGAGACCGAACCTCGGAGAGACCAGCAGCACTCGTTCTGGTCTGCTGCTGCTGAAACATTTCGCTCCGTAGCTCGGCAGCCCTCCCACTATATCGAGATAGTGAAGCTTGGCCTGGAAATTTAACAAATTTTATATACCAAAAACAAAAGTCGATGAGAAAATTTTACATGCCATTTTATAATAAAACGTTTCACAACCCTATATCACGATTTTACGGTGGTTGGTTTTAAAGATTCGAAGACCCTGTTGTCTCCTTAGGTCTTTTTTTGTTTTTATTGCTTAGGTTGGTGGATGAGTTCACGGTCCACTTGGTGTTAAATGTTTACCGGATCCCATAGACATCTACAATGTAAATGCCGACACCCCCACCCTTCAAACCGAAATGCATTACTGCTTCACGGCAGAAAGAGGCGGGGTGGTGGTACCTATCCGAGCGGACTCACAAGAGGTCCTACCACCAGTAAATAAAAATCGACTCTTCAATAATCTTTCAGTACAGATATAATAGAAAGGTGGCCACTATCATCTTTCGTCTTAAACTGTACCTTATACGAAAACCCGACTTGGAGCAGAAAAGCCCCACTAACCTGCAGCTGCGTCAGATGCCGCTGGCTGCCGGTCATCTGCGAGTTCAGTTTCAGGAAATGAGCGATCAGCCTCCTGAGCTCTTTGCGTTTCATGCTCTCCAGCAGGCTGCTTGGCACGAACCTTTCCAGCCCGAATTCTCTTCTGAAAATTAATTTTGATCTTAGTAGATTTTTGTTATTAGCTAAGTTGTTTATTTCAAAGACACTTTATATCTTGGATTGAGGAATAAGATGACGACTTCCGCCTCTGTGAGTGAATGAGTCTGTAGCGTGCTACATTCGGTCGCACTCGGGCGTCATCGGACGCGATCGGAGTTCCCGAACGCGCAGGTATCCCGTGTCGTCATGCGACGAAATACGCGCGCGTCGATTTAAATTGAATGTAACAATGTAATTTTAGTTTTAATTTGTATCTTCTAGTGCCTAGCGTTGTTTACTTTACTTTTGGTTTATATTTTAATAGCGACCCGCCCTCGCTTCGCTTCGGAAACATTAAAACACACATGAAACAAAACAAAAAAAAAAAATTAAAAAAGTAGCCTATGTTCATCAGGGACAATGACAGCTTCTAATGGAAAAAGAATTTTTCAAATCGGTCCAGTAGTTTCGGAGCCTATTCGAAACAAACAAACAAACAAATCTTTCCTCTTTATAATATTAGTATAGATATTGTTCACATTATAGATATTGTTGAATTGGTGTTTTTGACTTTTATATGTTCGGAGTAAAATATCCCGCAAATGCGAGGGACAAATAACAAACCACAAGTCTCTGCACCTTGAGTCATAAGAATATAAATTGCTAAAGTGTATTAAACGCTGTGTGTTCCACTTTTCAAACTGGTATGCCTGACTGCTTCACTGCAGAAATAGAATCATCTCGTTTTTACCATCGCACCGCCCGCCATCGGGGTAGAGCTCATCCATACTACCTGGAGCCACTGCGGTCATCCACAGTGCGTTTCCAGGGGTCTTTTTTGCCACGTACCATCCGGCTTTGGAATGAGCTCCCCGTCACGGTGTTTCTCGAGTGCTATGACCTATCCTTCTTCAAACGAGGCTTGTGGAGAGTACTAAACGATACGCAGCGTTTTGGCTCTGTCCTTGGCATTGCTGAAGTCCATGGGTGACGGTTACCACTCACCATCAGGTGGGTCGTACGGTCGTCTACCTACAAGGACATTAAAAAAAATTTGACAAGATGATGGTGCCTACCCAATCGTACTTATAACACGCTTCGGTAATAATATGAAAATTAACTAGATGGATGATGATCTTGGAAGAACATGTGCGTCAACTTGTCTGAAACTCACTCGACAGCTTTAACGGTCAACTTGGCCGGCGAGAGATTGTTGGCCAGGGCGTGTTGGTGCATGTGCAGGGCCGCCAGTCGGAGGGCCACTTCGGGTTGGAGCTCTGGAGCGAACCTCTCCTGGGCGACGTCGTTGCAGCACTGCAGGTACAGGTAGTCCAGCGCTGCCAGGTCTTGCTGGGCCAGGTCAGCGGCAGACGTCGGCATGAAGACCACTCGGTACAGGCATCGCATCTTGTGCGAACCGGGACGGGCTGCTATCTGGAGTTTAAAGTATCCTGTCTGTTAGTTAGAAGTGAAAAACACTAATTCCTACCTCAGTTACACCCATGACCTCGAAGAAGTTACCCTGAATTGTCTTCTTTAATATCAGAAACTTTCAAAGTAGAGCGGCAGAAAACTAAAATAACATTCTTACACATTTTAAATAACAAGAGAAATTTTATTATCATGTTAGCTTCTCCTGTTCCCTTCGGAAGAGAATAAGTGAGATTGGAGATTTAAAATGAAAGGTTGCAGTGTGATCATATTGGTATGTTTTTAAAATATAGTATACTATTGTAAGTCGCCGTGGATAAAGGGATAAGACGCTCAATCGACTCGTATCAAGCGATACAACGATGTTAGAATCCGACAGGCTGGTACAAATTGTAATGAAAACTGTACTTAACAAAATATTATATTCGCAAAATACTTCCACAATTGTGCGAATAAGCAAACCCCTTAACATGTAATTTATCTAATTACTACGCAATTAAGGTTAATGATCATCTAAAGCCGAAAAGTAGAAATAAGGGTGACAGCATTCACGTTGTATTAATTATCGGATTCAGTAACTACTTAACATCAGGTGCGCCGTGAGCTCGTTCACATATATTGGCAATAATACGAGTAAACTCCCTAATATTAATTGATTTGAAATGATCTTAATTGATTATTTCATTATTAAAGTTTGGTATAGCTTGGTCTGCTAATTGCGCTATGTTCTTTAATTAAATTTAGTAGAAGGCATCCATAAAACATCAGCTTAGCTGTGCCCCTGGCATTGCTAATGTCCATGAGCTACTATGATCACTGATTGGCAAACTCGTCTGCCTATAAAGAGGGTTCGAGCCGATTAAAAGCAGTAGCAGAAGAGCAGCAGTAGCAGCAGCCGAAGTAGCAGATTAAAAAAAAGAATGTAATAACACATTTGATATCGCCTACCCTTGCCAAAGACTCCTTAGGATCGAGCAGAGTCAGTTTATTCCTTCTTAAGCTTTTCACGTGCTCCACAACCAGACTGAAATGCTCTTCAGCAATGATGCAGAGTTTCTCTTTAAGATTCGTCACCACATCCGCCACTGTTGTTGTAGTGTCGTATTTGAAGGATTTCGTTTGACCGTTTTCCAGGAAGACTTTGAGGACGTTCGCCATCGGCGGAAGGCACAAGTCGCCCAGCGAGAATGCTGAGGGCTGAAACAGTGAACAAACTAGTTCAGATATAAAAATAATGGAAAGATAAACCCGCTGATTTTTTTGTATTTCGTCGATCTTTCTACTACTGTTATAAAAGTCTTGAAGAATTGCCAGCGCTAACCAAGATTTCAATATTAAATGCTAAATAAGTTTATCATAAAAATGCTGGTCACTTTTACCCGATTTCAAAAATTCCGATTTCCAAGAAACATGTTTTGTTAGTTCCCAATAAAAGACTACGATCTTCCAGGAGTGTTTTATTTCAGTAGACCCACTGCTGTTTAGGAAAATTTGCATCAACATTACACAACAAGAATATAAGGTGGATTTTAGATGCATAATCTACAGCTTTTACTGATGGTAGGACCTCTTGTGAGTCCGCACGGGCAGGTACCACCACCTCGCCTATTTCTGCCGTGAAGCAGTAATGTGTTTCAGTCAGAAGGGTGGGGCAGCCGTTGTAACTATACTGAGACCTTAGAACTTATATCTGAAGGTGGGTGGCGCATTTACATTGTAGATGTCATTGGGCTCCAGTAATCACTTAACATCAGGTGTGCTGTGAGCTAGTCCACCCGTCTAAGATATAATAAATAAATAAAATTAATGCCGCTACCCACCTTGAGACGTTAGTTGTGAATCTTAGTTCTTTTTTAATGTCCTTGTAGGCAAATGAACATGACCCACCTGATGGTGAATAGTTAGCGTACCTCATGGACATCGGCAATGACAGGGGCAAAAACAAGTCACTGCCAAGCTCTAAGTACTCTCTACAAGCCTAGTGGTACTAGTGCAATATAACCTAATGATTTCAATACTAACCGGATACATGGGAGCTCCATTTAACTGAACTGAGTCAGCGAATCGAACCCTCGGCGGTCTGGCTCTTAGCCTGGCTCTCTTGGCAGCAGATAGCAGCGCGGATCTTCTCGTGGGATTCCCAGCTCTGGCCGGTTGGCATACGCGAAGGGTGACCTTCTCCGTGCAAGCCCTGACTGCGGATATGACGTGCTCGCGAGCAGCCATGCTCACGTCTTCGCCATTCACGCATAGAATCTGATCACCGGGTTCCAACTGCAAATTTGATATTTTTCTTGATCAGTTATAGTCGTGATAGTAATGAAAAAAAGATAATAAATTTAATCGGTAGGTTATTTATATATTTTACTATATATAACTTTTGTAGTTTTGTGGTTTTGATATGGTCGTATATGTGTGTTTAAATAAAAACTTGTATATTGTTTATAATTAAATATAGATTTGATTGTGCACTAGACAGAGTCATTGACTGCCGGACCACCAGTCGTGAGTTCAATTCCCGCTTCGAACAAATGTCCGTGTGATTAACAAGTTTTAATAAAAGTATATTATTATATTTAAACAAATATTGCAAGTAGGTACGTATGTGATTCAATTAAAGCTACTTTTACGGATTAATTTAGAATTTATTTCGAACTAGATGTCCTGCAGTAGTCGAAATTCAACTATAATTAATTGGAATTGTAAGTCTGTACACTATTATGATTGTATTTTATGCTTCTATAATAACAAATTTCGCCAAGGCTACACTATAAAAAATCTATTCTCAATTTGACCACAGACGTCAAGAACAAAAGTTTGACAATAAATAGTATGCATGCGTGTGTGCGTCAAATACATGGTATGTAGTGTGTGTAATGTTTGCTTTATTGATTTAATGTATCTTTTATGCATTATTTAAGTGTAGAAAATTTCATACTCCTCCGTCCGCGCAATTTTCGTAAAAAGGGATACAAGGTTTTTACTTCACGTATTAATATATAGATATATATCGATAATAAAATTTTATGTTTCCGAAGCGAAGCCAGGGCGGGTCGCTAGTATTAAATAAATGAGGCAAATTGAAAGCAAACGCCTTTCGTCATTCAACATCATCATCAGCCCACCGACGTCCAATTCTGGACATAGGCCTGCCCGAAGATTGGCCACAATGACCGATCCAGCGCAGCTCGTATCCCGAAGATTCCAGATGTTATCGACTTTCTTTCGCAAAACGTTTCCTACTCAATATTGGCATAAAATACTTTTACAGGATACCTCATAATGTAGATATTACATATACCTTATTTCCTCACCCTCTCGTGTTTCAGGGCCGTAACTTTTACATCTGCCCACCTCACGTTTACAACCACGAACGAACAAACTCCGGGTTATGGTACGAAGGAAAATTAGGTATTAAAGTACATATATTCATTTGTCCTATTGCTCTTTTTCCCTACCTATTCGCTGGTAGCCTAAGAGACTATTCCATTACCCAGATGGGTGGGTGAGCTCGCAGGCTGAACCTGAGAGAATTTGCTAACACTAGCCCTAGCAAGAGCAGTGCTTCGCAGAATCTACTACCGGATCGGAATCGCGACCCAATGATAAGATCCGGCCAGAAACTCAGTGGGCGTTTTATTGCTCTTGATGTGTAGCTAAAATCAGGGCACGCCTAATGTTCAATAATCTCTATATATGAAAATGAATTGCTGTTCGTTAGTCTCGCTAAAACTCGAGAACGGCTGGACCGATTTGGCTAATTTTGGTCTTGAATCATTTGTGGAAGTCTAGAGAAGGTTTAAAAGGTAGATAATTAAGAAAATGCTCGGAATTAAAAACAATTTTGATGTCCCCCGTCGGACGGATTCCTTTTGTTTGAGTCTTTTATTTATCGATTGAGGCACTACGAAGTCTGCCGGGTCAGCTAGTGTTCAACAATTACAGTGTCTGAGTTTAATTGTTTAACGGGTCACCCTTAGCGAATCGGAGCGTTGCTTTGCGAAATAAACAAGTCGCTTAGTAGTAATTACTCTAACGGACTCACAAAACATGCTTGGGACAATAACTTACTTTTCCCACACTAGGCGAATTGTCAGTGACGAACCGGACTAAGACAGGCTTCTCGGAGCCGGCCACGAATCCGAAGCCCAGCTCTGGGTCCCGCTCGAGCACTATGTCCCTGGGTGCCGGGGGAGATTCGCAGGAACAGCCTTCTGGAGCCACGTATGTTGTCGTCTTGTTGATGTGGCTGTGGAATGATATTTCGTGAAGTTCGTAACGTGGTTGGCATTTTTACAGCTCTACAGTATTATCTTTTATTATAAAACAGTCTTAATTTTCAATTTGAGGAGTTGCATAGCAGTCGAGTCGCCAATGAATGACATCTCTCACTCAATGAAAGCAGTGGGATGTAGAGTAATATAGCCTATGAAGGTTCTGGCAAACACTTGACGACAGGTGGGGTGTGAACGTATCTGACATCTAAGTTAAGTTTAATAATATTAACTAAAAGTTATTTTAGACTTGATTCCTTTTGGTAAATGTTTGTCCTTAGACATGCTGATAATACCTGGGAGACATTAGCGTACAATAAAAACAATTTTAATCGAAAATATTTTTTTACGAACTACAAGCCACGAACTATGTTAAAAGGCAGCGGGTAATCGCGGTCAACACCCTCGTCGGTGTTAATTTTGATCCCTCGAAGGGATGTAGATTTTGCTATAGATTACGCGTACACAAATCATTTATTTGTATCAGTAATAGCATCTTGATGGGATAACTAGCGTGCAGTCTCACAATGCCATAAATAGCGCTTACTTACTTAACATAATAAGATTTCCCTCGATTGTCCAAAGCCTGTTCCCAGCCATAAGGCAGTTCTTCTGTATCCGGCTCCTGACAGTCCCGCGGCGACGACCAGCTCTCGGCGGGGGGTAACCAGCTCGCTGTTCGTGTCACGTGACTGAAAAAAAATATAAATCCATGTTAATTTTCGTAAGCATTTCGTGAGACGCAGACTTAATTTAAGACTAAACGATTTATCTTATACCTCAGTGTGCTTAGTGCGAGTTTTATAACGTTCTCGATAGCGTAAAAGTTAACTCAAATTTGTATGGAGTTAGAAAAGCGCCCCTAGCGGCAAACGTAGCCAAACGTTAAAAAAACTCACACTAAGCACACTAAAAAATTCAAAATGATTGGGTCGTCTGAAATTTTCCAAAACTCCGAAAAATTATGATTTACAGTAATATGTGCCTACAGCAGTATAGTGTGTAATCAGACAGCCACTTTTCAAAACTTTAGTCCGGTCCTCGTTGGGCCCACGGTCTGCTCCCAACATCTACAGACCATTAAGTTCAACATATCCCGTGCACTCTGTAGGCGCGGACACCTAGTACGAGGTTCTGTTCCTTACCCGAAAAGAAAAAAAAAGGTCCAAATACAGCATGAGCTTGGAAAACTTCCTTTCCAGGTCATTGACCAACGGTCTAATTATTAATCAGAAAATACAGTTATTCCACGCATTTAAAATCCCATTCGGAATATTCAAATTATAATAGGCACTTTACTAATTATCTTTCAAGAGCGCGAAAACACAATGGAAATTATAGCAGACGCGCATTGGACTCAGAGATATTAATCAAAAACAGAAAAATCGCAACAAAAGATCATGATTAATGAATGTACCTACTACGAAAATTAATGTATTTTAAACTACGCGCCAGTGTAATTAAAAAATGAACCGTCGAGTCAGATTAAATGGTATCGCTGCGTCAAAACAAAAAATCTACATTTAGCACTGTTTGAAAATCTTCGCAAGGTGTCTCTGATGATCGTCAAATAAATCCTGAAGACACGACATACGTATACGCTTTTAGAGTAATGAATGTCTGTGTTTATGTGTGTAGCGGCCCTTAATGTTAGAACGTGAATTATATAAATACTCTTCAAACGGAAGGTACATATTTTTCTGTGGTACAGGGTCGAAATGAGGAAAATACTTATTTGCAACATCCTACCTATTTCTTTGGCAAAGCAATTGTGATTTTTTTATTGCCCTTGCAGACAGACGAGCATACAGCCCACCTGATAGTGAGCAGTTACCGTCGCTCAGGAACATCAGTAATGCCAAATACAGAGTTAAGCTGCTGTCTACCATTACGTACTCTCTACAAGCCTCTTTTGAAGAAGGATACGTCATAGGGCTCGAGGAACACCGTAAATTGGAGCTCATTCCAAAGCCAGATGATGCGTGGCAGAAAAGATGTCTGGAAAAGCACTGTGGATGAATGCAGTGGTTCTAGGTATTATGGATGAACTCTACTCCGGTGGCGGGTGGTGTTGCATGAGGTTCGCGGAGGAGAATAGACATCACGCATAATAAATAACCTCACACAGTACCTCATACAACCATGATTTCCAATCACGTAGTATTCGTGTAGGTAACTATCGTTTTCTTGTGAAATTTAGGATTAGTATTTGGTATAAGAAATAATTTCTTGTGTGTTAATTAGTTAATTAACTGTATTCCCACAAAAACCCAGTTGAAATAATTTAACGGAAGAAAATAACTAATATTTCCTCTGGATACGTTCCCTTGCAATCTCTCAGGCTACTCGTAGCTCCTACCGCGTAAACACTATGTCGTAATATTTGTTGTACCACACATTGTCGACTATGATATAAATAAAAAAGTTTCTCTTACCTCTGTGCGTAATTGTGGTTGAGGTGTGTTGTCTGTGCGGGCGGACTATGGTTTTTCTCTTAAGGTTCAATATCTAATCAAGATATGGCATGAGATTTGCGCTCGACGAGCCACTCAACGAATGATTTTTTCCCTACCTATTTATTCGCTGGTAGATGAGCTCACGGGTTCAACCTCACGGACTCAACATGAGAGAATTTGCTAACACTAGCCCCAACAAGAGCAGTGCTTCGAATCTACCACCGGATCGAAATCGCGACCCATAGAGAAGATCTAGGGCTGTGTCTATGGTTTAGTTATAGTTAGCTCGTCGATATAGTCGATACGTTAATAGCGGCAAACGCGTCCATAGCGGCAAACGTTCCAACTCTATACATATTGAAGGTCCTTACGAATCCATCGGATAAAATAAACCTTGCATTAGATACCTTTAGCTCTAACACTAGGAGTAGGGACCTCGACAATCGTACTCGTCGAACTCGGCAAAGAATTCGACGTGCAACCTAAGCTAACCATCAGCTCGCTGAGTTTCTCGCCAGATCTTCTCAGCGGGTCGCGATTCCGATCCGGTAGTAGATTCATTCGTGAAGCAGCTACTCTTGAGTATTTAGGTCTCTTTTGGAGGCGCTCGGGTAGCTGTTAGCAAATCCCACCCTTCCTAGCTGAGCCTTTGCTCGCCCACCTGCTCTGGTAAAATTGGAAAGGCCTCTGGGCCACCAGTAATCTCTCAAACATAAAAAAAACATATTGGAGTTAACTTTTACGCTATCGAGAACGTTAAAAAACTCGCACTAAGCACACAAATATATCCTGATCGACGCGGTCGAGAAACGCGATAATATTCTAGCAACAAGATTTAATAAAAACCTTCCCGCTAAAACTCAGACCACGCCTCGCACAGAAACACGATCTCAGTGATATCCCACATGTCGAGTCTCGCACTCGGCACAACGTTTGTGCTTCGATTGTGCCCCCGACGACGGCTCGACTCACACAATAAATCTGTGCAAATGTTAGGAGCACACACACGTTGAGAGAAATAAACTTTCCCGAATTTTTTCGTATGTTTTTTTTGTGATATCTTTTTAGTTGTTGGTGTAGGCCGTCGGTTCGTCACGGCGTACTTGCGATCGAGCTAATTTTGATGGTTAAACGTACTCACAGCCCACCTATTGTTAAGCGTCCCCAAAGACTAAAGACTCAAGATCTTGAATTCTGCCGCCTCTATTTAAAACTTAGAATAACATAATGGTAAATGACATAAATCAAATAGCGCCTGGTCTATGAATCTGTTATAATAACCACAACATTACATTATTTTATTTATTATTATTTATCTTTTTTTTTAATTATCATCATAATATTATTATTTGTTTTTATTTTATTATGTTTGACGGTCATGACATTACGTGCAAACGAATGTATAAGTCGACTGATAGTTTACTGACCAGAGAGTGACCCAGGTACGTCTTTGTTCCAGCAAAATTACACGTGTTTCAATCAATTTGAATAACAAATTCTAACAAATAAAACAACATTAAAACAAACAAAATTAAAACAAATTTAACCCGAATGAAACCGGGGGCCACGTTCGATCATTCATATTTCACACAAATAATGATAACTGGCTTAAAGACGTTTTTATCGGTGATTTTCGCTTCACTATTATACTGTTAAGATAAAATGAAAACCCAGCTGTATCCAATTTAATTAGTCGGGACATACATATGGGTATTGCAGGATTTTATCGCCGTTTCGCTCCAAGTGTCCCCGTATTCGCTTACATATTACACGACTATGTCCTTGTTGTTGTTGATGCTTGTTCTATTTGTTTTAACTTCATTCAGTAGTATTTATTACATTGGTAGAACTGACGAAGCTAATGTGTAGTAAGAGCGCTCTAACCTAGTCAACCTTTATGACATTAGCGGAAATATTATAGAAAAGTTTTTTAAATTTAATATAACTAATTTTTCTTTTTCTTTATTTAACAGAAAAGTAAACCTACTCTAACAAAATGAAATGACATGAATGTAGTTGAAGTCAGTTAAATATGACTTCTATAAAGATAACTCAAAAACTCCTGGTCCGATCTTGTTAAAACTTAAATAGAAATGCCAGATTTCATACCATAAATACCAGATTTCAAATAATAATAAGAAAACATTAATATTTTTTTTTATTCCCTTTTTTTATTGCTTAGATGGGTGGACGAGCTCAAACGAGGGACGAGCCCTTACGAGCCCATACGAGCATACGGCCCACCTGATGGTGAGCAGTTACCGTCACCAATGGACTTCAGTAATGCCAAGGGCAGAGCCAAGCCGCTACCTATCTTTTTCCTATTCCTAGATCCTAAAAAACAGTCGACTTTATAACCCCCTCCTTTGTGTGAATTGGCTTACCAGACAAATTATAACTCAAATGACTCTCACTGGTGCTAGAGCAAATTGTCCACCCAAATGCATCAGTTCCTTCAAAAAACTTCAGGCTTCAAGATAATGAGGGAGACGAATGTAAAATTTCGGGAAGAAAATAATTGTAGGCTTTAGTAATGATCATAGTGATACAAAGAGTTTGATAATTATTTGACATTTTATTCGTATATAAGTATATTACATAGATTTATTCAGAATGTATTATGTATGAATATGCAGAGCACAAAGAGAACCACGAATATAAGTAACACTGTAAAATGCTTCCTATCTCATTTTCACCCACGTTAAATCTTATGAATTATGTGTCTATCTCTTTTTACTGCCGCTTTTTCGTTTCACCAACTTTCGATTCACAACGATGCTAAAGAAGTTTTCACTTCAAAAACGTAAATTTAATTTTGCAAATACTTTATGAGTTAGTTTTATGAGATTCTTGGAGTTATTGCACAATTATAAGCTATGATACACTGCCGAGCCACGCCAACAAATATCTTCCTCCACCTCGTATCAGATTTACTAAATAAGCAGCCCAACCCCGACGTAATATGTAGCGGTAATAACAACAAGCAATACAACGCGAACACAGGATGACCACGTAATGACCGGACCTTTCTGCGGTTTACCGACAATCTTGCACGTTTCGGTCGAATTCAATGTTACGGACAGGTTGTGTATTTCGGGACCATGTCAAAATTCCTAAATGAGTTCTGTAGTTGCTAAAATCAAAAGATTTTCGTGGTATATTTCAACGCTTCATTCACCTGTAGAACACGTCACTGTTTTCGTGGTCACGATCGGATCTTGTCGGCTGTCTGAATG